CTAAATATGAAACTAAATATGATTAATGTTATTAAATTTGTTTGCACACTTAATTATATTACTCTTTAATTATACAAATAGACATATAAGACTAAATTCATCCCATGTCAAAGTTAATTCATTGGATTTGATGAAATTTATTTCTCCCACATATTTATATATAGTGTTAAATCATTTTCCCCAAAATTTTCCAAGCTTAATAGGGTCTTATCAATTGAATAATTTTAATCTATAAAAAAGTAATAAAATGATAAATTTAAAATCTATAGATGTATATATCAATCATGACTAATAGTATTCACTTTAAAAGAAAATATTATAATAAATATATTAACATTTAATTTTTTTACTTATAAGTGTGTTTTACATTTAGCTAATTAATACTAAAAATTTGAAAAATGGGGGGAGGCTCCCTACCCCAAAGGGAATCGGTTATAGATTAATATATAAGGTTAATTTCTAAGATTTAAGTTCTTGTTAATTCATGAAGAAAAATCAAGTTAAAAAATAAATAAAAACTATGTAATTTGATTACAAGTATATAAAATGTATTGATATAAATTTTTACTTTTGAAAAATGACTATAGAAATATTTAATAAAATAGATTTGTGAAATTGATGATCGACACAAATATTATAAACTAATAATTCTAATTATGATCACTTACTAAAATTAATTTCACGACTTTATTATGTATCAAAGAAGATGATAGTAGCTCATAATAGACGAGAAGTCGGAAATGTCATTTGATAGTGAAATTAAAACTCGAGTATAGGCTTTGTTTGGCTTTTGGCATTTCAGCCAAAACGCCAACATGAATTGTACTAAAAATGCTACAAATCGTAGCGGATTTGGCAAGCGTTCTGACTCAACCGCCAATAACCGAATGAACCCATAATCGCCAATAATGTTGGTATCTTTGTCTTATCTTTTCGTTGTAATCTGCATGATTCACATGCCCCTTCATCCAAATAAAAGTTACAATGTCATATTTATGTTTTGTTTAGCTACACAATGGTGTTTGATGGGAAATTTAAAACATTGGTTTTAGACTTTTTTTTTTGAAAATAAACCAACAAATATTATTAACCATAAATGTCCTTCACAAGAAGGTCGCTAATACAGGTAGGTGGTATATCAACAACTCTATTCATTGATCATTGCACATACTAGGCAGAAATATTAGCACCTAATGCTATCATGTGTCTAATATCATCAGCTAACAATGCTACATAAGAGCATCCTCCCGACCCCTGCACTCTTTGAACAACCAGCAAAGCGTCTAACTCAACAAACACATGGCTCCACCCTTGTGTAGCCCACTCCACTGCCTCTCCAATAGCTAGGTACTCGGTAGTCGTTGCTTGCATGAATCCAACAAAACTCTTCCTTATTCCCGCAATAAAACGTCATTCACCATCTCTAGCGACTAAACCAATACCCCTCCTCATCCCACTTTGGCCCAGGACTCCATCCACATTTATTTAATGTATCCTCTCTTCGGCTTGCTCCACTTCTTTTGCTCTCTAAACTGGGCCGCCCTTACCTGTTTGGTATGAACTTCCTTCCAGCCATTCAGTACATCCATGCCCACACGCTCAGCCCCTACCAATCCACTTTGTGCTTTTTCCAAACTTTATCATTTTGTATCTTCCACAAGCTCCAACACATCATCACAAACACTCATGCCTCCTCTTTTGTCATTCCTTTTAGAACACTTCCAACCCATTCCGCCACCAAAGAACCGCCTCCTGCCCCTGTCCGCCTATTCCTCCATACTGATCGAGCTACGGAGCAGTTCCGAAGGACGTGGATGGTCGCCACCTGGCTCATCTCACACAACGAACAAATTGAATTCACCGGGACATGCCTTTGCCTGAGTTTATCTTTTGTTGGCAAATTGTCCGTACATGCTTACTAGATTTCAAGACCCCATACACCAGCCCAATTCGGTCGACCCATATCTCTCTTCGTAATCATTCGGTAGCTACTTCGTACAATGTACTCTCCTTTCCGATCATAAATCCACATCCACTCATCCCGTCTCTCTTGTCAGCCGATTGGTATAGCCAAAATAGCTTTCTTGTCTTCCTCCTGGAAAATATCAGAAATAATATCCATATCCCAATTTTCCCCATTTAAAGTCAAAAGAGAGCTTATTGTTATGTCTTCAAGTCCTTGTGGAATACTAGTAATCGGGTGACTACCCTCCACTGTCGGCAGCCACGGGTCCTCCCAAACCCGAACACTATGGCCCCTCCCAATGCGATAACAAGCTCCCTCCCGGACTACCGGTATGGCTTTCGAGATGCTCTTCCATATCAGAGGGATTATTCCCCACTTCAGCCTCCAGAACAGACTGATTTGGAAAATAACGAGCCTTCAATAATCTGCTTACAAGGGCTTCAGGATATTTTAAAATTTTCCAAACATGCATGTTTCCCAAGCATTGCTAAATTAAATTCCCTCAGTTTTCTATAACCCATCCCCACATCCTCTTCGTAACACACAAATCATCCTAATTTTTTCATTTAATACCTTTCTCCTTGCTAACTCTTCCTTGGCGCCAATAAGAATTCATAGTCCTCTCAATTTCCTTGCAAAGATCTAGAGGTATTAAAAAAACATTCATTGCATATTGAGGAATAGCTTGTATAATAGTTTTGAGCAATACCTCCCTCGCTCTAGACAAGAAACAGTTATTGCACCCTTGTATTCTTTGATTAATCCGCTCCTTCATATAACCAAAAATTTCTTTCTTCTTTCTCCAATTAAAGAGGGCAATCCCAGATATCTCCCTCCACCTCTATCCTCTTTAACCTCCAGGACCTCCGTCAAGTAATCCCTATCATCCCATTCCACATTTGCACCGAAGCGAACACTTGATTTTTCAAAGTTAACTAGTTGCCCTGAAATTTGAGCATATCTAGTTAAAATATCATTCATAACATAACACTCCTGTTCACGGGCCCTGAAGAATAAGAAACTATCATCAGCAATAAGCAAGTGGGATATTACCGGAGCATTCTTTACAACACTGTACTCCTTGCACTTTAGAGCTAGCCTCCTTTGCCTGAATCAACTCGCTAAGACCTTCTGCAATAAGAATAAATAAATAAGGGGATAAAGGGTTGCCCTGCCTTATCATTAAGCTTTTTCACTAAATATGTAATTTTTAATTTCGTGCGCTGAATTTTGTAATAATCAATATGAGTAAGACTGAAGTTATTTTTCTGGCCAAATCGACCAAAGTTTACTATAGAGGACAATTTAGCTAAGTTTTCAAATAATTTTTTGTTTAATTTCTTTTAAAAAAATTAGTATAATTTTTTCTTAAGTCAGTTGATTCAAGCAATTCAGTCGTTTCAGCTAGAACTTAATTAATTTCAACAAAATCAGACGATTCGGCCAATTTTAATGTTACCAAACGGGGTTTGACATTGGCTAAATCGGCTGAATCTTCTGAAATTAATGAAATTCCAGATGAAATGGTTGAATTGGTCGGATATATTTAAGAAAAATGTTGCGGATAGAAATCTCTCGTAATAGAAACTTTATATATATTTTTAAATTTTATATATGAAATTTCGGGGGTATTGTTTTATTCCCTAATTAAAAGAAAATTTGTCATTTCAAAATTTAGTGTTATACTTTGACATTATTAAACATTAATATGGTAATAATTCACATTGTTTATAAAATTCTTACTCCCTCCGTCCCGTTGGAATGTTCCCGCTTTCCTTTTTTGGATGTCCCGTTGTAAAGTTCCCATTTCCCTGAATGGAAAGTTATCCTACATCAAAACAGGGTGAAACAGTGCAAAACACTGTCAAACAGTGTCGAAACAGTGCCAAACAGTGTCGAAACAGTGTCAAAACAATAAAATTTACCCCCTGGTAAGTCTATTTCCTTAATATGTGTGTAGGTCAAACCGGGAACATTCCAACGAGACGGAGGGACTAATATATTAGTACAAATGTGAAATTTCAAAGCGGGGTTATTATTTTATTCCCTAATTAAAAGAAAATTTGTCATTTCAAAATTTAGTGTTATACTTTGACATTATTAAACATTAATACGGTAATAATTCACATTGTTTTACTTCTATTAAGGACAATTTTTTTTAATAACTAATTTGACATTGTAGAAAAAATTATCAAAATGGTATAGACTTCAAAACAAGTTGGAGAAAATTTGTATCACTTCTCCTCTATTTCCACGGGTAGGGGTGCACTCAGTCTGGAACTGGGTCCGGTACTGTTTGGGACTGGATTGCGTCCGGAGTTTCCGATATTGGGTCTAGGACCGACCTTGTCCGCCCAAGAGCGGTTCACAGTCCCGATTTACATATTTGGGGATATGAATCGGGGAGTCCGAGACTCGGACTGGCCAATTCTTTTAAAGCTTGAAATTGGGTGAGAATAAAAAAAAAGTAGGGTATCCAGAACTGGGACCAGATGGATTCGGATCCATCCTATCCACGGGTGGATCTAGACCTGTTTGTTGTGGCTTCTGGACCGGCTAGTTCCCACTTCTCGTCTTCTCCCAACCAGGAACAACGACTCTCATTGAATATTTGGATTTCCGATTGGCTGGTTCCAAATTTGCTTTTTGTTTTGTTCTTTTTACGCATTCTTACAATACATTATAAGTTTTTTAACTTATACGGAGTATTACTTAATACAAATATTATTTACTTATACGAATTATGATACACACACTTGATTGAATAAGAATATTACTCCCTCCGTTTCTGAAACAAGTTCCACCTTTCCTTTTCGAGCAGATTCAAAATTAAGTTCCACTTTCAAACATTTCCTTATTTGGCAAATTATCTACATCAAAACAGTGTCAAACAGTGTTCAAACAGTGTCAAACAGTGTTCTGCCAAACAGTGCACTCCACAGTAAAGTCAAATTTATTTTCTTAATATGTGTTAAGTCAAATGTGGAACTTGTTTCAGAAACGGAGGGAGTATAAAAACTTTCTATATGAAATAAATTCTTAAAAGAGATTTATATTGACCACATTCTGGGAAACTTCAATTGGGTTCTAGGGAGCTTTCTGTTACATATTCAGGCAGAGAAAGTTGCAACATACATCACAACCTCTTAAATATCATCAGTACAACATCTGGATTTATAAGTTATGGTAGCTTCAACATCTCGTATTCATGTGAAATATTAAGAGGGGATTCCTTAGAAACCGGTCTGTCTTCTGACCACAGCTCTGAAGTAACTGTCCCACAGCCCCAATGCACCATGCACTTGTATACTTGGTCAATGCTGAACCTGTTCACCAAAGCTAAGCCAAGGCATTTGTCAACAAGCATCCATTCTCCTGCACAAAAGAAAATGTCAACAGGGCAGCCTAGATCCGCTGCAATTTTGTTAACAATAGAAAAGATTCAGAAATGACAGAAAAGCAGAAGTAGATTGTTCAGTTTATCATACCCCAATGCTACAGTAATTGAATAATTTTGTATGAAGAGCCTTCTACTGAGGTAAATGGTTCAAGTCTGTGAAACATAGAGGGTATGTTTCGATCCCCGACAATGCTAGGGAAATAAAAAAAAAGCATGTATAGTTGCTTTCTTATGCTTGTTTTTGCCATTGAAACTCTAAAGTGCAATGGAAAATTGAAAATATAGAGTATTTTCATTAAAATAGCATATTTAAAATGTAGATTTATTTGTGTATCTTTTCTCTTTTTACCTTCAAAAATTCTTTTGTTCCCATATATTCCTCCATGGTTTATCTCCTTGGTATTTTCCACGTTGGAAACAGTCCAGAAAGGACAGAGATTTTTTTAGGAATGCCATTCTTGTGAGGTAATTGTTCAAGTCTTTGAAACATCAAAGTATGTTTGGATCCCCTTCCAAACATCTAGGTAAAGAAAAAATTCTATGGGTAGTTTTTTTCTTAGCTTTGGTTTTACCATAACAACAACTAAGTCTTAGTCCCAAAAGAATTTGAAGCCTTAAACATGAATCAATATATGAAGGGGTAATTCCCCAAATAGGACTAAATGAAATTTATATTGCCAAAAGAGGACCATTACTTAAAAATTCCCTAAATAGGATTAGCTTTCCCATTCTACCCTTGCTTTGTTTTAATACAATTCACATTTCATTAATAATTAACATATAAAAGTAATAACATAACTTTATTTATAATAAAAATGTAGAAAAAAACGAAATACATATTAAATAAAATTAATACAAATAAAAAAATCAAAAAATAAAAATAAAAAATAAAAAAATTAAAAAAAATTAAAAAAATATGCAGGCCTATGCTGCCACCTCAACAACCTCCCATCTTTTAAGTTTTAACACATCCGGTGCTAGTAAAATTAAGTTCAGCTCCCTTTTTCTGAGAGATACCACTGACATCTGGCATACGTCTCACCATTTCTGAAAACAATGGGTTTTATATCTAATGTTTTGAATAGGATATACTTCAGATGAGTGATTTGGAGCAACAGCTCTACCCGTTTTAGTCTTGTACTTCTTTTCACTTGCTAATACCAAACTTGAGACCTCATTCTCTGATGGCATTGCTATTTGCATGGTCTCTCCATTAATACCGCTGACTCAAGCTGAAACAATGACACACAGGAATGAAGCATAAAGGCCGTTCAAAATTGAAAATTTTAAGTACGTATGAGCCAGAGAGTTCACAAGCAATCATACATTAGCACCTTCACCAAGCAATAGAGTACATGTAAGCAGCAGTTTAGCCTTTTCCACAATCCTTCAGTATTGGCCACAGTGGCAGATCTATGATTCAATCTATGGGTGCATTTATTTTCTCTAATTAAAATTTGAAAAGACTATAAATAATTAAACTAAATTTATGCATGTATATTAGCATGTTTTTTAAAATTCTAAGTGTTCATGTGAACACCTTTGAACCAATGTGGCTCTGCCATTGATTGGCCACCTTTAAGGTTACAACTGAAGAAGAAAGTTCAGCAGTGTATGTTGTCAACAGGTACCCACCATTGGTATACTCATATCCATCTCCATCATCTTCATAGAGAGAATCTACAGCTTTACCTGCACCATGGACAACCAATTTGATGATGCTGTTTTTATTTTCCTTGCCAGCTTTCCTTTCCAAGTAATAAATGATGAGTTACTATTATTTTGTGTGTGTAGGGCTCTTTTATGTTCAGTTAAATATTAACTACGCCCAGGAAGGCTACCTTGTTCATCCAGAGCCACGATAAGCAATAAATCATCTGTAGGGTTAGACTCACCAACATGTAGATATGGAAGACCTACAGGAATTACTGATCCACCTCGAAGGTATAAAGCTGGTAAGTCCTACCAATTCCAGATATAGAGCAATAAAAAAGGATGGAAAATATTGTAATAATATGTTAATCTCAAAACAAATTATGTTTCTAGGAATAACTACCGGATGTGAGTCTTCAAAATCAAAACTTAACCATATGTCTTTAGGCAGTTTTCTCTGAACTTGATCCACCTCCTTATCACGCTCATGCTGCTTAAAACAACACAACATTTTGTGGGTACAGTATGGAAAAAATTTGCATCCCATGAATGCATTTGTTCCAGAAACAAAACAAGAAAAGACTGTTGAGAGGAATAGAGGAAGTAAATGAGTATATCAGCAAAAAAGAACCTACACTAGCACATATCCTGCTGATGCCATGAACTAGGGTTGTACTTAAAATGTTCTTGAACAAAGTAAGTCAGTGCCCATAAACATACTCCCTCTTGGCTCCGTCCCAATATAATGTTCATTATTTTCAATATAAACTTCACTTTCAATTCCATTTAAGGAATGAATTGTGTGGTTGACATTTTCTCTTTCCTTTTTAAATATGAAGAGAGGAACAAACAAATGAGTGTATTAGTAAAGAGAATGCACACTACACATATCACGGTTGTGCCTCTTATGTGATTTGAGAAAACAATAAGTTTATCAGCAAAAAAGAATCCACACTACTACACATATCAGGGTTGTACCTCGTATGTGATTGATGCTACATTACTGGTGAAGTTTTATGGAGACCCATATGACTCCCTTATGGAGTCATATGGGTATTGTGGCATATTAATAACCACTCATTTTTTAGTGGAAGACCTTATTAAAAAAATGAGTGGTTATCAATGTGCCACAATACCCCATATGATCGATTCCATAAGCGAGTCATATGGGTCTCCTTAAAATTTTGGGTCATTACTGGCAGCCAGCTAGTTTAGGGAACTACCTTTCTATAGTTTAAGACTAATGTCCTACACAAGAAAAGGCTGAAACTATTGAAAATTAGACTTAGAACCTGAATATAATTGGTGTTCTCCCATAAAGCCTTGGAGAGTCAAAAGACAATGTAACAGGAATATGTAGTGATGCAAGAGAACTAAATGTTTTAAAAAACTTTACTTCATAAAGACATGCACTTTGATGGCACTGATAGTACAAAGAAAAGGAAAACCTTGCATTTACAAGGAGGGGTCCAAGCATGAATGAGTTCTCAAGTTTTCTCAACTCCTGGTCCTTTAAATCTGCATAAGCAATTGAGAATGTTCTATTATATAAGAGTTAAGGTACTAGATGGATTTGCAAGTGCCGCCCCTCTTCCCTGGTTCTGATACTACTATGGCTTTGGCATGAGAAAGTCCCCTATATTCATCTTGAGCATGGGATTGGGCTAGCCTCCAGCACTGCAGTCTCGAATAACTAGTTCTGGGAGATATTGGAGACATAGGCATTCACCCACTACTGGGGTCAGGTTAATATGAAATGCCCAAAGAGATCTGATATGAGCAGAGGTAAGATTTAGCTGAATTGGATCCATGACCCAAATAACGACTTAGCGTCCTATCACAGTCCTACATCAATAAAACTGTAACCAGCAGTTTTCACCAGTTTTTTATTCTGAACCACATCTCTCAATGCCATAGCTTCTTTCCAGCTTCCAGTAGCTACATACATATTTGCTAAGGACACATAGTAACCTATATTCTCTGGTTTTAGAGAAAAGAGAATAGTTGCCACCTTTTTTCCCAGCTTGAGATTTCCATGATAGTTGCAAGCACTTAGAAGAGACCCCCAAACACCTGATTCGGGTTGAGTTGGCATGTCCTTGACAAATTCATAAGCCTCATGTAGCTTTCCTGATCGTCCTAGCATATCAACAATGCAGACATGATGATCTGTTGTGGGCTGGACTCCAAACCTGGGTAGCATATGGTCATAGTACCAGCAGCCTTGGTCGACAAGACCTGAATGGCTGCAAGCTGTTAGCAGGTTAACAAATGTGGCTTTCGTGGGGCTTATTCCACACTTGATGAGCCCAATGAACACTTCAATTGCTTTCTGACCATTGCTGTGTAACCCATATGCGGAAATCATAGAATTCCAAGCCTCGACAGATTTCACAGGGGATTTTTGAAATACTAAAAGAGCAATGTCTAGCCTGCCACAACTGCTATACATATCGACAAGAGCGGAAGAAATAATAGAATTCTTAATGAAACCAAACCTGATGGCATGCCCGTGGATCTGTTTTCCTTGCCTGATTACTCCAACTTGGGTGCAGATTGAGAGAACGGTTGCAAGACTAATCTCATCTGGTTCAAATTCTAAAGTACGGAATAGTTCTATTGCTTCTCTAGCATTACTATTATGTGCTAAAGCAGAAATCATGCAATTCCATGTGCACAAATTACGGTCATGACAAAGGTTAAATACCAAGCTTGCGCTCACACTGTCTGAGAACCTTGCATACATAGTAATTAAGACATTTTGCACACGGACATCTTTACCCGCTGAGGTCTTAAGAGCTAGACCATGAATCAGTTTCCCCTCATGTGCCAATTCAAGACATCCACATGCTGATATGACATTCACAAGAGTAATTGAATCATGGCTGACAAGTGATGTTTGCCTCATCAAATTGAATGCCTCTAAAGCCATTCTGAAGTGCTGGTTCTGCATGCATCCAGAAATTATAGTATTCCAACTATCAACATCCGCAATCATTGAAATTTCCTCTAGCAATTTGAAAGATGTCACTAAATTTGTACATTGGATATACATACACATCAAAGAATTTACTAATAGAATGTAATTCTGAAATCCCAACTTTACATGCAAGCAATGTATTGATTTCCCAAACTGGAGGAACTCAGGGGAATCACAAGAAGACAGAATCCCAAGAAGGGTCGGTAAGCTAACACTTGCATGCTGAGCTAGAAGCTTCTTAAATAAAGCCTGAGCTTCTGTGTTGCACCCATTTTGGGAATATCCCGAGATCATAGTATTCCATGTGATTAAATCCTTATTTGGCATATTTCTAAGTATGTTTTCAGCTTTCTTAACATTACCTCCATTTAAATACATATTTACAAGAGAGTTCATTAATGGTATATTATAGTCCATCCCTCTTCGGAGGATGTAACCATGAACTGCTTTTCCTTCTCTAAGCAACATGAACTTTGCAGTCAGTGAAATAATGGAGACCAGAGTTGTTGTGTCAGGCTTCACAGATCCAATGAATTGCATTTTATGCAGGAGATAAAATGATTCAAAAATCTCTCCATTCAAAGCCAGCCCATTAATCATTGAGTTCCATGTAACCACATCTTTAAACTCCATCTCCTCAAAGACACATTTTGCAGCATCAACATTTCCATATTGAAAGTAGAATGAAATGAGAGAGTTGGAAACAGAAATAGGATGTGTCTCTATGTAGCACAGCTTAACACCTAATCCATGAATTCCTAGGCCACATGTAAGATTCTCCAGAAAAGCAGATGCCGCAATAGCACTAGAAAGGCTCACACTATCTACCTGCTTTACAGTGGAAACCATCTGCTTGAAATATACTAAGGACTTCCTAGGATGATTGTTATAAAAACACCCACTGATAATTGAGTTCCATGAAACTGTATCTTTAAATCCCATTTCTCTGAAAACGATCTCTGATGAGTTCAAATCCATACATTTTGCATAGACACCAATAAGAGCATTGCCTAAAATGGAATCTGACACCATTGCTACTTTCACACACAAAGCATGGACTCCCATAACTTGTCTCAAGTCTTTCAAATTGCACAAGGCTGAAAGAAGTATAACAATACTAGTAGAGTCAAAAGCATTCCCAACTGCAAACATTTCATAAAATAAATTCACAGCGGCCTCAAAGAGATTATTCTCGATGCAAGCAGTCATGATGGCATTCCATAAAACCACATCCTTGTGAAGAACTTCACTAAATAGAGCCAACGATGAGCTAAAACTTTTTTCCCTTGAGTATATCATAAGCAGGGAAGTGACAGCGGATAGATGACTAATTGCACCTAGTTTGATTACCATGGCATGTACTACTATAGCATTAACAATACTGGGGTTCTCTCTAACAAACCTAATGAGCTCATGTACACGACCTATGTTGGAACCTAGGCAATACCGAAGAAACCTTTGTGACATTTTATCAAATGACTGGTAGGCAGAGGAATGGTAAGTGGATGCAGTCAGAACCACAGGCAGAAGGCAATGTGAAATAGAGGGAATGTGCTTGATGCAAGAAAGGGTAAGTGTCAAAATGGGTTTTTGGCAAGAATAGCAAAAATGCAAGCGCAAGGGTGACGCATATTGAGAGATAATTCTTGGTGTTGGGATTCTTGAAAGTGAAAAAGTACATGCTACATTTAAGAACTTTCTCATAAGATCGAGCTAAAATTGACCTCAAGCAAGCCACTTTTTATTTTTAATACTCCGTGTTAATTTTATTTCTCAAATGACAGACAAATTAAACTTTTTTTTTGAATAATCAGACAAATTAAACTTAAAAAAACATCTTGATTATTCACCCACTACAAGATTCTTAACACGTCTAGGCATAACTTTGATTATTGGCATATTGCCCACTTATGTAATTATAAATGTAACCCATAATTACATAAACCTACTTATGTTAATGTGATAAATATGCTTATATGAATAAATAACGTGAGGATGCTATCTCTTTCAGGATTTCAGAGTGTGGCCCCAAAGAAAGCAAAAGCGATGAAAAGAAAGAAAATTAGAAGATAATGGAGAAAGAAGGAAACAAAGTGAGGATGGGATGTAGTTTAAGGGCAGAGACGGATTAGGGGACGGAAAATACTACTCCCTCCCTATCCAAAAATACTTCCAACTTTCCTTCGTCCGTCCCAAAAAGAACTTCTCTTTTTTGGCAAAGAATTTGTGATTCATACCATTTCTCTCTCCTCTGCACAACTCTCCACCACACAATTCCTATTTTCTTAATCCGCGTGCCACTTTATTTTGGAAGTAAATTATGGGACGGAGGTGGTAATATTCAAATAAACAATAGAATAACCTTTTAATTTAGAGAAATGGTCCTAGATAAGAGCTTAAGTTTCTCTATGTAATTAAATAAGACCTTGACTTTTTTAACTCATAAATATGACCTAATTTTAAGAAACTTCCAAAATTGCACACTAGTGTTTTCCGTTATTTTCTTTCACCTTCATCGAACTTCTACATCTCTCAAGTTTGACAGATCTCCCTAGATCTGAAGCGGACGACGAATGAGGCGAGGGACGCCGGAGAAATAGACCTCTTCGTCTCCCTTCTTTTTCTTCGCTGCGCACTCCCATGGTCTCACCCTATTTTTCTCACTGCATAAGCCGGCTCCTTTTTGCAGCGTAGGAGAACCTGCTATGGGAAAATTTTTGCTCAGCTCTTTTGCACGATGGAATTCATGTTTGTTCATGATTTCTGAGTTTTAAATCTGATTCTGGTTGTTTTCTTGGTCGGATTTCGAAGCAAATACCATCTCTAAGCTTGGATTTGGTGCTTCTAAGAATGACGGCCAAAAAAACTCAGAATCGAGATGTTGGTTCGCGGCTTTACTGTTCACTTTCGCAAATTGATTTTTGTTCTTTAATCAAGCTGGTGCAGTAGATTGGGGTTTCTTTTGTTTTGTTTGGGCTATTTAACCGGAGACTGTACCTCTTTAGCTTTCGTGTTGTAGGTAGTACCCTGTCCTCGTCGGTTTTTATCCCACCATGCGATTTGGGGAAAATTTTGATTGCGGTTCTTATGGCCGGCAAGAAACGGGGTAAAGGTGTGGCTACGCCATCTGTGAACACCATGTCTCGGGTTGTTGTTGGTTTCAATGCGTTAGATGGCTTGGACGATAACTTCCCTGCACTACATGGTGGTGGGAAGTCTAGGAAGCAGACTGTGGACACTATGGCAGACCCTGGGATGTGCTCTGACTCTGCCAAGGAGCTGCTGGAACCTGGGGATGTGTTGCTTAGCTCTGGGAAGCAGGGGAATGCAACTAAACCTGCTGCTCCTACGACTGATCCTAGAGCTGGGGATATTTCTGTTAAGCAGCTAGCATTTAAGGCAGCCCCAACTGCACACAAAAATTTATTCTGATATGCCTTTACCACTAAATTGGCTCTGCTAACCATTTAGTTGTTATTACAAATAGGAAAATAGTTGTTATGTCTTGGACTAATGCAGAGGGTAGTTGTTCCATTTAATGTATGCGTTACTGAGTTTTTGTTTTGCACCAAAACTATTCGATGAAATGTCTATGTGAAAAAAATCTCCATGTTTCACATTTTTAGTTGAGAAAAATCATGGGCACCATATTTAAAGTGCATGAACGAGTGAGCTGATAATGTCCAGGCTACATTGATATTGTCACACTAATGTCATTGACATTGTCATCGCAATGTCACTGGTGTCAATGTTATTGGCATTGTCACGACAATGTCATTTTAATGGCATCTGATAGATAACATTCGCATTGTCATGAAAACAGTCATTGACTTAGCATTGACATATTATTACAATGTCATTTTTATAGTACTAACGTTGACATTGGCATTGTCACGGCAATGTCATTGGCATTGTTACGTCAATGTCATTGGCATTGTCACGTCAATGTCATTGAAATTGTGTCATTCTAATGTCATTTTTATAACATTGACATCATCACGTATTACATTGTCATATAATGACATTGATTTTTAAACAATGACATCGTATTACATTGTCATACAATGACATTGATTTTTAAACAATGACATTGTATTACATTGTCATATAATGACATTGATTTTAAACAACGACATTGATTTTCTAACAATGACTTCAAATTTTAAAGAATGACATGATATTACATTGTAATGAGCGTTGCCATTTTCATGACATTATCATTATTTAAAATTGTGTTGGTATGACATTTTGACATATTTATGACAATAAAATACACTCTCAACTAACAATGTATTTTTCAAAATCTGATATTGTCATTTTTGTAAACAGTAACATTATTTTACATTATTGTAAAAAAATACAGAGTATACGGAGTAGTAATTTGAAATGCAATTGAATTGAACACCAAACATGATAATTTGATATATTCAACACCTAACATGTTCATACATCATTCTGTTCAAAGCCTGACAACCATTAATGCACTCAAATAATTTGATTCCCCCCTATTCAAGTGGAAGTATGGTTTAATAATGGTGAAGTTGTGCAAGAGTTATGATCGATGATGGATTGATGGAGTCTCTAGCTAGGCGATTGTTTGTTGCAGGGGATATGATGTAGCCATCTTGATATAGAGATCTCCGATTTTTATCGGTAGAGAGGAGCTTTACACATAGAACGTACCGGCGTATCTTTCCCGTCGAGTGAAACCATTCTTCAAGCTTCTCCATCATTCTGGACCTCTCCTTGTCATCTACTCGTTTGTCTAAGTACCGATCCGGCACCGGCGGCAAGACGTTCACCCAGAGGATACAACAGCTGTAACGAAGCTCCCATTGGCCACTCGCCAACGACGGGAACCGCTCGTCTTCCTTGCACACGGCCACCTCGGGGTTTAACTGTTTTACCAGGCCGGAGAGCGTAAATGTAGGAGTTTGATCTGCAACGGAAGGTTGTGTCGCTCGTGCTTGTGTTGTGTGGCTGTGTGAGATGTGAGAGTATTTTTGTCTGTTCGGTTGAAAATAAGTCTTATTTAGGGTTAAAAAAGTTAGAGGTCCTATCCGTGTTCCAAGCTCATGTTTTAGTCTTATTTAAGTCTTTTTCCCTTTGATTTAGGACTTGGGATACTTGTTCTAATTAAGAAAAACTAATTTTATATTGTTAATGTATCTTTATTAGATATTTAGTACATGATTTTGCAAAATATCAAACAATATTAAATATCAAATAAGTTCCACATAATGTAAAAGGAATTCAAAATGTAAATGTTCATGGGACATTAATGTTGGAAAAATGTGTTAAAAATCACATTAAATGATCCACTTCCGATCGGATCAGGTCAAAGTGGTTTCCGATTGTCCTTGTCAAGGGATACAATTCGATATATGGTACACTCAAAACGGATAACGGGTGAATAAAAAGTTGATTATCGAAGTTGACTCGTTGAAACGGAAAAAACTGGGATAAAAGGATGGGTTTCTAGTGTGATTTATCCCACACCGGAAAACCCAAGGGATTTTCACCGCCTTATTAAGGGAACCCTCTTTGAAAGAGTTAAGATTCCTACGGGGAAAGACTCTCTTCGCGCGCAGGGGGTGCCGATCAAATCCCGAAAATGGAGAAGGAAAATCGCGACTCGTGTGCGTGGGCGACCTGTGGACACGAATGTCGTCCGAAAATCTATCATTCAAACACCTTAAAGGTATTTTGTTAACCTATCTGTGCTATCGTAGTGTCCCGTATGAACTATCTTTCAAATTGTCAGTTCAACCTCACCGTCCAATTTTACTGTTAACGGTGTTAAATTCATTTGACGATGGTTAGCTTGGTGTCATTTCGAACAACTAAGAAACAACACAAATCATTTTTAAATATGGTCCCTTTGTGTGTATTAGTTCATAGTAAGTGCGCCATTTAAATTGAAATGCAAACATCTCATAAAAAATGTTTATGGATATATAAATGAAACTAATCTTCTCTGATATGTAGAGTGTTAAGTGGGATGAATAAAAAATAGCTTACAGAATAGAATTAGTGAAGTTGTGGGGAATATGTTATTTATGTGCATTCGTTTCTTTTGTGCAAGTGTAATACTTCCAAATAAGGTCACTCGTTTCTTTTGACTTTGCACTCTTCTATTTTTTTCTCCATCATTTCATGTTTAGTTTTTTGAGTGTAGTGCTTCCCTTGATATATTATTTTTTCTACCTCATACGTTTTATTACATGATGACTACCATGAGTTTATCTTACATTATTACTATGGAAAAAACACTTTATATCTCGAGTAGCCACTTAATAGGGCACTATTATCAATTTGAGAAGTTAGTGATTGGCAATTTTGTTTTAATTAAAATGTTGTTCTCATCTTCTCAATGTAGTATGTAACTGTCACTAATATTCATTAAAACATAGAAACTATATTTTCATGATTTTATTGTAGCATGCTAAGTTTAGCAACAAGTATGGTGATTTATCTTATTTAGATTAAATTAAGCCAACTATGAATTTTTTTCTCCACTTGACATATTCTCTCACGCTGAATCCCCTACGTACAATGTTTTTGCGGAGTTTTTGCATCGTACTTTGAATAAAACAATGTTTTTGTCCTTTGCCCCGTGAACCCCCAACAAAACAAATACTACGACATTGAAAAAGAAATTCAACATCATTCGGGTGACACAAGCAAGCATAGATTTACCACTAACCTAGGTAGAGAAAGATTAAAAGGCAGGGCCACAGGGATTGAATTTTATACAGATCATGCGAGCAGATTCAATAGATTTTCTATATTCAATTAAATAATTAAAACATCTACTTCTCATTAAATACAATAAAAATTGTGTCTTTGACAAGATGCACCATCTTTATTACGGAGTATCAAATTCAAGTAATTGTTTACATTACGAAGCATTATACAAAATTCAAAGTATATATTGGGCATATAACATTCGTGCAACGCGCGATCAAAGCATTTTTTGTAATATATTTTTACATGCATACACTTTTTCTATAATATATTTTTTTTATCACTTTTATATGTTTT